TCCGCAGCTGACAGCGCTGCCACACCACCTCTGCTTACCCAATTTCACCAGGAAACTCAATTTCTACTCGAAATTACCCGCCGTGCACGTTCTCTTTTTATTTCAGGCCGTGGGCGAGAAGGAGGAACGACAACAGAGAGGTCGCAGCCAGCAGCCCGCCCAAGCCTCCCCCCAAAAGGGTAAGTCAGAGATGCCCCCAGGACAGCACCAGCTGCTGCTCTGCCCACGTCACCTCTGCCACACGGGTGTTTTTATGGAATAAACGCCAGCCCCACGCCAAACGCAGGGTGCCTACACGCCCACTGCTCTCCTGGGCAAGCGGCAGTCGTGGTGAGAACGGTGCTCGGCAGCAGGATCCGTCCAGGCTGATCTCTTATCCCAGTTTTGGGAGGGAGCTGGAGGTGCTGGGCAGCATCCCAGGTTCCCTAAGGTGCTGCAGCACCTACCAGCACAGACAAGCCACAGGCTGCTTCCCCCCAAACTTCTTTAGGAGCTTCTCCCCCACCAAGCTGGGTTTTAAGAGCCACTGTGGCTTTGCCTCCTGGGCTAACCCCCCCCAGGATTTGTTAACGAGGCTCCTGGTTTGACCGGGTCAGTTATAACCATCCCCAGGTGAGGAGCCTGCTGACTCCTGGAGGGGCTGGCGGGCTCTGGTGTGGGCACCCCAAGCCAATGGGTGTTGTGGTTCCCACATCCTCAGCTCCTGCACTCGCTCACGAGGCTGTAGGGCTGCCCTTCCGCACGTAGAAAACACCTGACACAAGGCGTGCCCAGCTTTAATGAACACCGACACGTCTCAGGTGTAAGGGCTGGCTGCAACACTCACCTGGCCTTTCCCATTCACCAGGTGCAAAGGAGAAGTGCGCAGCCAGTGCCCTGACGCGGGCGGTTGCGGCGTCTCCTCGGCAAAATCAGGGGAGGGAAAAGCCATTCGGGGGAAGAAGGAAGCCGTGCCCGGGGAGAGTCTCGCACCTATGGCCGCAGCCAGCCCCCCGCGCCGAGGGGAAGCGAGCGCGGAGCACGCGAAACAAAATTTCCTCTTTCTGGAGGTTTTCTTCGTTTGGTTTTTATTTTTTTTAAGCATCCTGCTGGTTTTACATAGCACATTTGGCCAAACTTGGCAACGCTGCTGCTCAGGATTTCCAAAGCGCGGTTTCTCGCATTGCCCATCTCTTTAGCCTCCCTCTCTTTAGCCTTTTGGTTTTTTGTTTGTGGAGAGTTAATGAAAGAATCAGAAAGTCTCTGTGCAGAAGGCTAATTATTGATATATTAAATCGTGGCTTCGGAGGTTTAATAGGATTATTTCAGGAGCCGTTTTGCTCTACTGGTTATGTCAGGTGCTGGCTCTCTGGAAGAGAAGGACATTTCGGCCTCACTGGACTTGTCACTCAACGGTACACAAGAAAAATGACACAAATAGACACAGAAAAGCTCCCTCCCCCAGCCCGAACCATTTCCTTTCGTAACAGCTTTTCCGTTTGCACCCAGAGCTACTTCACAGCTTCAGTGCAATCACACTGACAAGTGTCGAACACTGGCTTCATTAATAAATGTTCGCATTTTAGCGCCTATACCTCAGGGCACAGGAGAAACCCCTCAGGGATCACAGCAGGACGTCATTATAAATGTGCATTTAGCAGCCTCGTTGGTACCTTCAGTCTGTAGGCTAATCCTTCACGTTGAAGCAAAAGGCAAACCAGAGAGAGTTTGCCCAGAGATCTCCATTTCCTCTGTTATTTATCAGATCTGGGTGTTTTTTGTTGGTTTTGGGCTTTTTGTTGTTTTTTTTTTGTGCCTGACAGATTCAGATAATATCAGCTGCTCGCCACACAAGCAATTTTAAAATAAAGTCCACCTACAGGCAGTTGGTGACGGTATCTGGTATTTCCAACCACCACAGCAGTAAAGGAAGGGTTGAGAAAAAGCAAGAAAGTCACATTTAATACAACACAGCAAACAGTGTTTAATAAGCAGGCCAGTTGCCTCGCCTTGCACACAAGCGTTTTACATCCTATTCATGAATGATAAATGAGAAAGTTTTCCCCGGTTCAGTGAAAGCCCCTCACTCGGGACTTCCACACCGCGCCGCAGCAGCTGCACCGGTGGGAAATGTTCCTTTCTCAGCTCATTTACACGAGGAATAGATTTAATTCCGTCATCTCCTCAGCTGTCCGTAGCCCTGGGGAGGGTGGGAAGTTTCTGAAGGGCTTTTCTGGGAAGAGCAGGGGAGTTTTAAGCTCCCGAGCGCTGCATGAGGCAGGGCGGCGAGGAAGGATGCAGGCAAGGCGCTCACCGGAGCATCTCTGGCCACAGCCAGAGGCCAACGGGACGGAAAAGCTGGAGCCGGGAAAAATGCAGCTGTGGAAACCTGGCAGCAAGCTAAACACGCCCCACGATCGGAGCTGCCTTCTGCTTGCCGGTACAGCACGTGAGGCTGGTTCATAGCAGCAATTAATACTTTTTTGCTTTGTTCCGCAGCGGTTTTGCACCTCCAGTCATCAGGTGAGGCATAATGGGAGGAAACGGCCACCACAGACGCCACTAGCAATAGGTTTCTGCTAGAGAAATGCTCCTACCGCTCCTGCAAGCTTTCCTGCACCTTTTGCTTTAAGACACACGTCTACAGTTTGCACCTTTCTGTCTTCCAGTTGCGGGGCCGCGACGGTTGTCCAACTGCCGTGTTGCGAGAAGCAGCTGAAATGCCACCCAAGAGGTGACAGAGGGGACTCACTCGCCCTAGAACAAAGCTCCTCCCCAGGACGGCCGCGATGAGCTGGTAACCGCCGCCTCGCACGCGCCTGCCAGGGCTGAGCTTTTTGATTTAAGCACCGACAACGTGAAGGACGAGCCGGCTGCAGGACGCGAGCGAGGAACATGTTACCATGCCGGGGCTGCGGAGCACAACCATGACGAACAGTTCAAACTGCACCGAAACAGACCTCAAACCCTACTACGCGATTACTTACACCTTCATCCTCATCCCTGGGCTGATAGGCAACACGTTAGCTCTGTGGGTCTTCTACGGGTACATGAAAGAGACTAAAAGGGCCATAATATTCATGATCAATTTAGCCATTGCCGACTTAGCGCAGGTTTTGTCCTTGCCCCTGAGGATTTTCTACTACTTGACGGGGACGTGGGAATTTGGAGGAGGTCTCTGCCTGCTCTGCTTCTACCTGAAGTACGTCAACATGTACGCCAGCATCTACTTCTTGGTGTGCATCAGCGTGAGACGCTATTTGTTTCTCCTGCACCCGTTCAAATTCAGCGACAGCAAACGCGTCTGGGACGTGTACATCAGCATCGCCGGGTGGGTCGTGGTCTGCGTCGGCTGCTTGCCTTTCCTGCTCTTCAGGCTCCACCGGGACGCTACAAACACGTGTTTCGTGGATCTCCCCGTCAAGCAAGTCGACCTTCCCAGCTCCATCGCGATGGTGACCATAGGGGAATTGGTGGGGTTCGTAACGCCCCTACTCATCATCCTGTACTGCTCGTGGAAGACTGCCTTGTCGCTAAAGGAAAAGAATTCTGCTTCCCACGACCTCGGAGAGAAAAAAAAGGCTTTGAAGATGATCCTCACCTGCGCTCTGGTCTTTCTGATTTGTTTCGCGCCGTACCATATCAGCTTCCCCCTGGATTTCTTTGTCAAAACCAAAAAGATTAAGCGCGGGTGTGTGATCTCGGTGTTTCACGCGGTGGCTTTGTGCCTCGCCAGCCTGAACTCCTGCGTGGACCCCATCATCTACTACTTTACCACGGACGAGTTCAGGAGACGCCTTTCCAGGCAGGATTTGCAAGACAGCATCCAGCTCCACCACCTCAGTTACGTGAGGAAGCACTCCAGAGACACGCTCAAGGAGGACACCATGGACTGCTAGCACCCAAACGGTTGCCAGGACTTCAAACGTTCACTATTTTGGGGAGGTTGGGCCAAATTACTTTTTTTACCCACAGGACACTGAGAGGGATAACTTAGACAAGCTTCTTTGACAAGATTTCAATGAGGGTTGGAGAAACCAACCCAAACCCAGGCAAAAATATGTTGATTTAATACTTTGCTTGCAAATTTCTCTGACTGTAAGTAACACCCCGTCATTCCTAGAGGCTCCATTTCTAAGCCCGGAGCAGGCAGCTTTGGGAGCAGGAGGAGGTCGTGGAGCTTTGGAGGCAGGTGACGCTGTGCCCCATTGTCACCGGTGGGGCCACACACCCAGGCTGCAGCAAGAGGCAGCGAAGATCTTGGGGGTCTTGCTCTGCAGAAAGTCTTTGATCCTAAAAATTCAGAGGTGATGCAGTATTATGTAATTCTGAGGCAGAAGACAACCCAGCAGCGAGTAATTTCTATGCAGAAAGCCAAGAGCTTGCCCCAGGGAGCGAGGAGCGTAAGGTGGCCCCAAAGGACTTGCCATTGCAATAATTAACCAATTTGGGGGGTACCAAATGACATACCCCCAAATTACAAAGTCAATGAAGAGTCCACACACTATTTTTCTGCCGTCAGTTCCCACTTCTGGCTTGAGAGAAGCCATATCGCTGCCTTGGAAAAGCTTTAACCCCAGGGCTGTGCTTCAAGGGTATTTCTTCAGGCTGGATGTCCTTCGAGCCTTCCAGCTCCTCTTTTCACCAAAGATGGGGCAAAAAAATTCCCTTTCACTGCCAGCTGACCCTGTGCCATCACTTCCACTCTTCCTTAACGGCGGCACGATTAAAACTCAGTCAGAGAAACCAACTCTCTCCAAAGTTTACTGTGACGGGAACTCCCGATAAGCAGATTCAAAGGTGCCACCTAACAGGCTGCAAGAGATTTTTAAAGAAAATGGGGACGTATTTTTAATAATAATTTCTTTGAAGTCAATGAACAGAAGCTTTTACAGGTATTTCATTTGCACCTTTCTCGTCAAACGAAGTTTTCTGTGAATATTTGAAATGTTACATTTTTGAAGTGTAAAAATATTGTGATGGTACGAGGTTTTATTTAATGCAAATGTTGTTTTATAGATTTAATTTATGAAAGAAATATATATTTTGAAGAAAAAATACATGAATCCCAGGAGAGTGCTGAAACACACAAAGGCTTTTTTTTTATTACTTAAAAAAAACCCTTCTATACAATAAAAAAAAACTCCACCACCTCACCCTTACAGGAGTCTGTGCCAGTGTGTCTGTACCTGCCTGGGCTGAGTAAGCACTGTTAATTCGTTGAAACCATGAAGCATGTTGTAGTTTGTTCATTTTTTAAAAATATTTAAGATGTAATTCGGGCTCTCCCCTCCCTAACTGCCCCCATCACCACGACACGTGAACCACTGTGGCAGCGCTTGGGTTGCTGATGCCTCTTGAGCACCTGCAGACGAATTTTCGAAATTATTTTAACCTCTTTTTTGAGCTGAGGAGAAAAGCAAACCCCAAAGAGCTGAAAGCCAACGCTGGCACAAGCCCATCACGGTCCTTTCTGGCCCCCGTTCCCGTGGGAGGGGAGAGGGACGGCCCCGTCCAACCCCCACAAAACTACTTTTAGCTTCCGAGGGGAAAAGACGTTGTGCAAAGCGGTGTCAGAAGTTCAGAAACTGTTCAGCGAGGGGAAAACCTCAATAAGCTGAAGCTTTCTCACCTCGAGAAGGCCGTGGGCGCGACAAAACGCCGTTTCCCCCGCCGCCATGGCGATGGGGTTTATTCACAGCAGCGTTAACGGTCTCTTTTTACAGGAAGCCTTGTGTAAGAGTCGCGGCGGCTCGCGTGAACTGAATTTAGGAGCCACCCACCTGCCTTGCCCCTGCCCTGGCACCTCGGCTCCGTGTGGGATTTGCTCGGGCCACAGTCTCCATCGCCGAGGTCTCACAAGCCGATGCTGGCACAGACACCTGGAGAATGGAGACGTCGCTCAGGTGACCAGAAGGGGAATTTTCATGCCCCGTTGATGACTCGGGATCCACGATGCCAGCCCACGCTCGCACCCCAGGGAAGCCACAAACCAGCAG